TCGCCTTTGCCTTGCCAGTTCTCTTCACTTGTTGACTCAAATATTAGAAAACGTTAGCATTGAGAATCTCAAAGTAACTTGTACCTAAGTCGAGCAAGATGGGATGTTATGAGTCCGCCAACGACTGAACACAAGAGTGTTGGGCCCATTACTTGAGCCTAGTCAAGTTGTTTGCTACAATAGACGAGTCAAGTCATATGCTTGCAATGACTCAAGCCGAGTCGAGTGATTTACGAGGCCAGTCGATCGAGTCACTACAATTGTGCCCCTAGTCATTAATTCGAGTCATTAGAACTCTAAGCAGATGAATAAGTAACTCGCAGAATGTAAAGTGGAAAATGGAAATTTATTTCAAACAAAGGTGTACATAATTTTCATCTTGTTTTTACATTTTGACCACGATGATTTTTTAAAGCTTAATGTACAGTCTGAAGAAGAAATACCACTTTCATCAACTTGTTATGCATATGTTGCCAGCCTTTTTGGTTAAATTGCTACAAGCAACGTATTGCTATCGTTTAGTCATCTTAGCATGAAACAAATCGTCTACTTAAGTAGCATTTGCAAGTCCATTTTATAACAAAAAAATATGGAAAGCTTTTGCCCGAAGGCAAAATTCATGGCGTGTTCACTAATGATTGTTTTTAGAGAGAAGTCATATCTAGCTGAGTGCTCTTAACTACTTGTCAGTTCAATGACGAACGCGCTCCGCAGCGCACTGATATGAATGACGCCCACGGTCAAATCGAGGAATCAGTTTGGAGCGCGACTATAATAGCTGACACCCGCACATGCCAATTGTAGATACTGGAGACTTCAGAGTTGGCCGTCCTCAGATTGAAGACCCCCCCCCCCCCCACCATCACTACCCCTCCAAGAACACGACAAGTCAAAGCCAAGACAGACGGTTCAGAAATGGTGCAATTAGCCGGCTTCCTGTCAATGCTACGCTTGTTCGATCGATTGCCGTAAGATAAACCCAAACCGAGCGTACTTGCACGGGTCCCCGCGCCGCGCGTGCACGGGATCGCCGAGGCCTTAGCCAGCAAGACCCCTGCGGGCGAGCGTCCATGCCGCATGCACCGCTTGTCAGAACTCGAGTTGGAGAGCTTGTCAGATCGCTCAAATAGCTCTCTTTTAATCGGCAGCGATTCCTTCCATCTCTTCGGATCACACGGTGGGGCGACTCAGGCCTTCTCCCGCTTCCTATTTTCTCCCTCTCTTTCCCCTGTCCCAGGCACGAGTGGTTCAATTAAACTTGAAGACTCGGGACTCTCTTACCCTCTCTAGTGCTGAGGACTCAATAACGCTAGGACTGCTCCTTAGGGGACAGGTAGTAACGCATCTCCCTCGTGCGACGAGGGAAATCATCTCAAGAATGTCACCTGTATGTTGAGTTCAACCCCGGTGTTAAGTAGGGGCCTCGTATACAGTGTGATCTTTACCCCTGCATCGTAAAGAACATCCAAGCGACCCGTTTGATATGATAAAGACGTTCCATGCCTGGTGACGACAATACAAATTTATGGTGCTCTTTCGTAAATGATTGATTTTTTTAAAAATTCTTAACGAGTCAATGCGTTCTCATCGGTGTGACAATAAACTTGATCACACGACTGCCCAAGTACTTGATTTTGCATTCAAAACAGAGTCATATTTAAAAAAGAAAAGAAAAGAAAAGAAAAAGAAGACGTTCCTTGGTAAATTGCGATGTGATGTGCCAAAAATACAAGAGTTGTGTTTTTGTTTTAGAATAAAATTGCACGGGAGGAGGATATTTTGGGAATTACTGATGGCTTCTGGGACATGAGTTTAAAAGGCACAGATTGGAGGGAAAAAAAAGAACTAAATCACCACATTTATGAATATTTGAATATTTATATTTGAAAATTTTCTCATGAACGAAATAGAGATAATCTATTGAACAATGAAAAAACCTGGCAATCGTGGGGTGGTTAAATATGAAATCCAAGGGGTCCTGTTACAATTCGAGTAAATTGGCAGATCCTTTGCAAACACAACACAATAACATTCAATTTACAATGGCGAGCCATGTTCCCGTCAATCACACCGTAAAACTGGCTGAAAATACCACCCATGACTTCAAATACAGAAGAACAATGGAGACATCAAACCGGGCCACCGCAATATATCAGTCAGCTCAAATACTTGACGTCAGTCGACTCAGTCTAATAACTTCACGTCGCATTGAGGTCGCATTATCTCCTTTTTTTCACGAAACCAGGACTTCTATATAATCAGAAAGGGCCCAGAAAAAACTGTGTATTTTCTTTCTCGTTTTGTTTTTGAAAAGGAACAGATAAACATTCCAGTTCTGCCGCTGACTACAAACAGTTCGACGGTTGCTATGTGTCTGAAGACAAAAAAACACAATGTGTGTTTTAATATATTTGATGTTCGTGATTTGGTGCGAGTGAACGCACGGAGTGACAAGTGTTAAAAGATTTCCCCGCACTTGAGCTTTGGATGGCGCACGTAGCAATAACCAAGGAGAAACCTACAACCTAGACATAACGATAATGACATTTAAACACATGTACATGTACAAGGTACAGTGTGCATATATACGATTTGAATAACCGGGCTATGTATTGTAAACATATTTTAACGGACAAAAATAAGGCACTGTTTGGGTATTGTATCTTACAAACTTCATAGAATTGTTTTCTACTTGATAGAATATGATATGCGTCTCAAAATCTAGACCTATATCCCTGACGGATAATGTTGTTTTTATTCTAAAGCATCATTTTGCTAATAAGTAATATTGGTAAGTTGCAATCATGTGATTGACATAACTGGCTGTAATTATGGCCTTGACTCGCATACGAGATCTAGATTTGAGATGTAGAGAAACAGCTGTAATGTCTGGAGTCTAAATACATGGCCTATTATTTTATGTCGTTTTTTATGTGTGGAATTGTTCATTATATGCCATGCATTTGTATAAATTTATTGCATGCAATGACCGAGATGGAAACACACATACGGATTAAAGAGAAGTGAAATGAATTGAGGTGCATGAACATTGAGATGTCAGTTAAGTACAGATTACAATATGGATATTACGTCCAATGGAGCCCAATCTACTGAATGTTAAGGGTGGCATACCTCGAAATGCCTTCACGCTGTCATTGCAAACAAAAACCTAGCAAATTTCAAAGGTATAGTTGGGTAAACGTTTATATTCTTCTTTTGTACGATTTTTCCCCAACTATTAACACTTTCTGAGAAACGCGTTTTCGAGCAAAAAAGGGCACTTTCTTTCGGACTTCTCCTTTAAGTAGTTAGTGAGCAGTGTTTTGACGTTAACCTGATAAAATGTAACATTTGAAATTTACTCCTAAACGATGCAATATATTAGATTTCCAACACGAAAAACTTATCCATAGCCAGAAAAAAAATGTAGTTTTCGGTACATAACTTGAACGTTTGTGAATTCAACACTATAGGTCAAAAACAAATTACAGATTTTGTTTAAAAGATTAAACAACTTCCAGTACGATTTATTGGTAATAACATATCTGAGGCTAAAATGGTAAAGCGAAGTATTAAAGCGGAGTGTTAAATAAAATTGCTCAATTAATGGTGAACATTTTTCCGATGGCAGAAAATCATGACAAAATTAGCGAAAATATCGTTTCGTGGACACTTTTCCCCCATGTCATTCAAAGTTAAGAGGTTTTTTTTTCACGTTTGTGTTTTGTTTTGTGTTATTCGTTGTCTAAGGACATAGTTATTTAATGTCTTATACGGTCATTCAATAAGCGAAATGCTGCTGAAATCATCTGCCAATTCACCCTTTTAAGGGCAAAACCACAATCAGAAGACACCTACTTTGGGACCTTTCGGTGTCACGGTGAAAAATCAGAGGAGGTTAGTCGGCAGGGGAGTGGAGATGTGCTCGAGGCGTCTTTTGATGCATCTTCAAGACAATCGGATTCCTGTCATGTTTCGCCAAGGTCCTCGGCATGCAGGGACACAGATCCCTGGCCCGCCGAGATTCTAGATCAATTACCCTCTTCGATTTTCCTCCTTCGTGCGCTCCCGCGGCCTAAGCACCATTTTGCCTTCGGAGATAAACTCCGGATCAAGAGAAGAAGAAGACATTAAAATACAGAAAAAAAGATCGAGACCGAATTTTGATGAACGTGTGAAACGAAGAAGGAGACGCTGGGTAGCTCCCCCTCGCTGCCGCCCCCTTGCCCGGACTGATAAGACCCGGTATAAGATCGGGAGGAAGCTGTGGAAAGCGCCCAGGGGAAAACTTAGTCTCAAGCGGAATCCTCTCTGGTTAAAAAAATCGAATATTTGAGCCGAGAACGCTGCCGACTGTTTGGGCATGATCAGGTTATAATCTGCGTGTTGTTGATGCTTAGCTTGCTTAACGTGAGCTCAGACGGACTTATGTTTTTTTGACAAGGATAATAATTTTTACATCTTGAGCGTCAAGGAAGATATTACTCTGAGCTGTTTTAAGTGGTGAAGTATTAGCCTTAAGCTCCAGGGTTATCATCCAGTGACGTCTCTGAATCCCCCCCCCCCCCGTCAGCGTCGCATTTTTGGGCTTTAGATATAATAGAGTCCCATGATCCCGGGTTTATGCACAGGATGCTAGCAAAAAGAACGGCCGGAGGGAGAGTAGGGTTTGGGCTTTCTAATGAGTAATTTGCCGTTTAGGACCACTTCCTTCCCCCAGTCTCGACACCGTGTACGCAGCCAGCGGTGTTTTTTTTTGTAAAAGTCCCTAAAACAAGAAATCACCGCGGGCGAGCTCTAGCTCAAAGTCAAAGAGCTGCGTTAACATTATGTCGATAATCTTTTTCGAGTTGGGGTGTTTTTTTCATGAGTCATATTGTTCAGACAAGATGAGACGGTCGGATGCGAAGACGATCCTCGGGCCTCGCGGTAAATCTTAACTAATTGCTTGGAACGACTGACATACACTCAGGGGGAAAATAAACACAATCTCGAGAAGGTTTTTTTTTTTGGATGTCAATATTACTATTTCAGAACCGTTTCGATTAATCTTTATTCTCTTCTGGCGATAGTTGAACGTGAGTACAGCTACACTATGTATAATGAGGTGGTTGCATATTATGTTAACAATCAAATTCCGCATAAGTAATATAATAAATTATATCCTACAGATAATACAAAAATCAATTGTACTGTCCTGCCCATCCAAAGTGCCAGTGATGCATGGGGTATGTACACTCATAACGACGCGAAAGGTTCAACTGCACATGTGAAACTAAAACAAATGAGAAGGCAAAGGAATGTTACATACTCTTTTCTGGGTACATTGTTATGAGAAAATAACATGGACCATTTCTGTTTTTTCCCAAGTCTTTGGCAATTATAAAACTAGGATTAATTCACCAAATCGGATTATAATTTTCGGGCACTTAATAAAATCCTTAAATAAGAACATCGTGTTATGTTAGGGGCCTATATCTCGTGTAATTTTGCGACTTTTCTCATCTTTTAAATTATGTTCTTAAGAGGTTCTACAGGAACGATACAAAGCATACAATTTGAAGCAAATGCAGTCATATGAGAGTTACTAAAATGGGTGATTCCGTACGTGTGTGTAATTCATTATTATGTCTTTCCATTTTACATCAGAAGTGAAAATGGAGATAAGCTATCATCAGATTCGCAGGCAACGAAATGCAGCAATGACAGACAATAAGGCCTAGATTGAGAAATTATTTTGTTCGGATTATTTCGATAAATGTAAGTAGGGGATTTGTCTTCTTTTATTATGGGGCAATTAACTTGAACCGCCTCCAGCAAAACGGCACAAACCGTTCTTGGACTGGCGCAGTATGTACGTGAATACATCTAGCCACGGTCGTATCTGGACAACAGAAGGCTACGGTTGTGTGACAGCTCTAACACACGTTTTACCAATGAACTCAGAACTATGCTTCATTTTGAACAGAAGTAGTCAATTTACATTCCACTTAATTTATCTTACACACGATAAACATCGCCAGATTCTCATATATAAAACACGAGCATTATTATTTACAAAAAAAAATAATCACAAACCATCACATTTGACAGGTGAAAGCGTCAAAAGTGAAAGAGACCAAATCTCCGATTTTTATCCACCTATATTGGGTTGTATTATTTTCATATACGCTCTTGCCGTTGAAGTTTTTCCATTCTATTTTGTTTCTGCATGACAAAACTAAAGCGAGCATGAATGAAGTAATAAATACAAAGTGTGATACAAAGTATAGTAATGAGATTACTGCCGTTTTATGTTGCTACAATACAGAGTCTTTCTAAAAAAATAACCTATTGTTTGTCCTTGGTATAGATAATGGGAAAACCGATCTCTTATACAAAAGGGTATCATAATCAACCCTCGTCAGATACATTCTCTGAATCATGGACAACGTACACTTTCCAGACTTAATTATGATGTGCTTTACACGCGATACTTTCCGCCAACGCAGTGACGGTTTAGGCATTTCGGTCTGACTTGGCCGACATTAATGAAACATCAAGCACATCATGACTTAAGTGCCTCCGGGTTTTAGTTGCAAATAACAAGCTACGTACATGTACATAATCATCACGTCTGTTATACAGCTATATGGACTGGATAATCCATAACATGATACTAATGCAATTTCATAAGCTATTACACAGACGACCGTACTTCAAATTTTTTAAAATCATTCGGATTTTGTGATTCCTGAAAGGGTCTACCCTTTACCAAGCTTACTTTGATCTTTCCAACATCGAAAAACCAAACAAACATACAAGATTACTGTCAACTAAATAATTGTACGGTTTTGTTAAAGCTCTGCCATGAAATGTTTCACCGTGTTGTCAATACAAACAGCTCAGCATTATTTTTAGAGTATGTGTTTACCAATTTAAGTCAAGAGGATAGAAGGGGAGCCTTGGATTGACAAACACGATCACACAGCCAAAGTGGGAAGGGGCAAAAAGAACGGAGAGAGAGGTTGACGACAAATATTTTTCTTTACCGAGTACTTGGTGGTGAGCGGGCCGAGGGGGTCTGTTTGGACGGGGCATTGTGCACAGGAAGCTCGGCAAATACACCCGCATTGTCCGCACGGTCGATTGATTGCAAAGACCGTAAGTCAGTCTCCTTGTATTCACAGGGCTTACAACCGGTGGGAATATAAAAAAGAAAAAGATCCGGACAGGGTGTTACCACACAATAGTGCTTTTTTTCTCGGTGGGACCGGGTTATTTGCCGGGTCTTTTGAAGGCAGAAGAGGACTCATCAAAACAAGAAGAATGAGGGTGTGAATTGGTTATGTCCTCTTGGGGTATCTTTGGCCCATCTCACCTCTGGCCTTTGTGAAGGAGGTGAATAAAACGACCACCAATCGGCTGTCTCTGAATGTCATCCTTTGCCAAAATCGCATTTTGCACCTATTCACAACTCACACCTGTCCCGTATTGTGCGAGGGGGAATAGAAAAGAGCCAATGGTTGCAAGCGGAACTTAAAGTAGATGTTAATTTCAAAATGTAATACCATTAATTCGGCCGCTATCTTTGAGGGATCAAGTTAAGTGAGGAGTTTTCCCAATCTTTTTGCCCCAGAACACACCCTTCTTTTAGCAAGTCGTCACATCCTTTAATCCTAAACACAAAATGAATTTTACATGACGGTGGGGATACGCTCGTAAAAAAAGCACATCGCGAGCTTTAACCAATACCGCCTTTTGACGGAGAAATCCACCGCGTAATGGAATACTGCAAAACTTATTGAAGCTGTTATATTTGCCAAATAGGGACGGTTTGCTAGTTACCAGAAAGATACCGCGCCTTTGTCAGATTCATGATTACTTTCGAAACGACTGTGCCGGAGTAGCCCTCACTGACAGTGGCCCGGGTGCAGTTTTGATTCCTTGGTAGAACTAGATTGGTTACCTTTTTGTCCGAGTATACGACTACAAGCCATGTTTATAATTTTACTCTCTCTTATTCCCTCAGATGCACCGGAACATTACATTATTTAATATGCTACAAAGGTACACTAATAGAAGGGACTTGTGCTGGAAAGGGGTTTGGTATTAATAACTGAACTTTTCGAAAGTCTTTGACTAATAATTTACAAACGTTATTTATTACAAAATTAATAGTGGTATTCGATTGAAAACCTAAAGAGGTTGCTTTCCTATCAAATTCTGATGACTGCATAAGTTCTTCAACGCAACCATTTGCGAAAGTAGTAAAAGACAAAAGTTTCGGACATTAAATACCGGAAGCACATGTGGCGAGGCGATTTTCCGGTCCATCAAGCACGGACAGCGGCACGGGAGTCAGAAACTGTCCCTCGCAGCTGGGGTACACTGAAGGCCAAACCAACATTTGTTTAGGTGGACGATGGTCCAAAAATCGTGTCCAGTCAGCCGGTGAAAGGGGCGTCCAGGAAGCGTAAAATAATGACGAAGTGAACATCCTTGATTATCTGGTTGTGGATGGGTGTATCCACACTTTCTCGAAACATCACTTGGGCGAATAATCTTCAAAATATAAAGCAGCTTGATGTCATCGTTCAACCGATGGAAGATATTTTATCAGTTATGATTTGCAATACCCCATGCGTGTCCGTTTTAACAGACACTGAGTCTCAATGGATCCAATGCTTTCTCGTCGAGTCTGACGGCAGGCATTCACCATGTCCAAGGCTGGGCCATGGAGCCCGAGTATTGCATATTGTTCGACATGCCTGAGAAGGTGCTGTAACTGCTGTAGGGGGCGGCAGCGTAGCTGCATTGTGAGGGGTAGGCCTGCATGTGTTGCAGCGGTGGCGGGGCTGTGGCTGCAGTGGTCGCAATCATCTCGTGGTGTGACTTGGGTCCCATGCACGGCGCCGCCGCGGCCATGGCGGCGCTGGCTGCACCGTTCATACCAGCACCACAAGGCTTGCCGTCCCGTACCAAGACCGGTACGGCGACCCGCCGAGGGGACGGTAACGGGTTCATGTCCAGACCTTTCTCCTGGCGGGAACGCTTCAGCTTGTAGCGGTGGTTCTGGAACCAGATCTTAACCTGCGTCGGGGTCAGGCGGATAATACTCGCCAGATGCTCCCTCTCTGGAGCCGAGAGGTACCTCTGCTGGCGGAACCGCCTCTCCAGTTCGTAAGTCTGGGCCTTGGAGAAGAGGACTCGTCTTTTCCTCTTCTTAGGAGGGTCTGAGGAGGAGGAGTCCTGGTTGGCTGACTCTTCATCGTCGCTACCGCTGCCACTCAGGTTGCCATTGCTGATGTCGGTGGTGACTGGCGGGGAAGTCTTATTGGAAGTTGGGGTTGTGTTCACATTGCTGGAAGTGGTTTTAGCCGAAGTAGAATTTGCTGAGTTTGCCGTCTGACCGAGAGCTTTAGAAGAAAACGGAATGAAATAGAAACACACATAATGAGTATGCGGAAAACCCTTAAATAACATCCATCTGTTGTTAACTTCGTTGTTTACACATGACCAACCCTTTCTTTCGTTTTAACCAAACGACTCCGGTCGCATCGCGCCGCGATCTACATCCAAGTACAAAAGGCAACGTCACAGGTATACCCGTTTTCTTGACTAAGCAAATAGACAGAAGACATCAATATACGAGTCAAGTTGCTTAAACAGAGACGCGGCTCAATCCGTCAAGGGGAACCTGGCGTTTACCGAACGTGAACGGCATAATGCAGCAAAGGCGCGCAGAATTCAATCCACAACACATTACCGTCGCCTATCCTGGGTCGTAGAGACCCGCTCTTACCGTGTTGTGTGTGATGGATCACCCGCAATCTTATAACCAAGCAAGGGACTTATTTTCCCCTCATGTCCGTGTACACACTCGGTGTCATCGCGCGTGGGGGCACTCCGCGGGGCGAGCCGAGTCCAGGCCATGCCGTGTTTGCTCACCACGGGCAAATACAATTAATTAGAAAACGAGCACAAAAGCGATCATTTACCGGCAGAAATTCGTGGGAAATTCAAAATGAAATTAGGGGATGTCCGTGGAGAAACAATGTCGTCGGAGACATCTGGAGAGTGTGACATTTTCTTAAGAAAATGGGGAGGGTAAAAACAAACGGTGTCATGGATGAGTCTGATGTTCTTTTAATGACGAAACATTGAACTGAGCAACCTTTTTCATGTTCCAGTGTTACACAATGTTGTATATTATTGAAAACGTTGTCATGATTGTTCAGTATCTATTTCCGGTTTGACCATATGTCTGCTTTATTTTCTTTCACATACCTCACAAAACAAAACGTAGTTATCGAATAAACATTTTCCTTTTTTAAAATCAGATGAATTCACTTAGTTGAGTGCAATTATGTTGTTTTTCTTTTTGAAAAGGGGAAAAAGTCCTAGCGAATATAATACAACAGCGACTTCATGCGCTGGGGGACACAAGACGTCAACATTTCGGACAGCGCAATCACCTAATTTGATAAGATACTTTGAAAGATGTTACAGCTGGTTGCAGAGTTGTAAAGGGGGTTCTTAACAACACGATTTCTTTTAAAGAGCCGGGCAAATAATGCGCACGGGGTGTTAAAACCTCTTGTCGAAAGAAAATGACTGTTCAGTCCCTATACAAAAATCACTCAGATATTTTTGTGGCGCAGTAAGGACGCTTTCAGACTCAATGATGCAGTGAAACAAAAGGTGGTGTGGTGTAACTGTTTTACCCTATAGAAATGGATTCGTTGGAGTCAGACAATGAGCAGCTGTGCGCCATTTCACGAACTTCGTTACAGTTGATTGACAGGTCGATCCATGATAACCCCGGTTGGCAATGACCCAATTTAACCCAGCTTGGCTGACAAAATATGTGATGAGAGAACACAAATCAATACTATCAGCCGTCCAAGTTGGACATAACGAAAAATTTCATGTCTGTCAAAAAAGTGGCGTGACTTGGCCCAAATTTTCAGGGGGAATTGGACTAACTTTCTAGAGGGGACACTTATGGGTTTTGAACAACAAGAGGGTATTTTATGTCCTCTTATCCTCTCGAAATTCTGAGTGGGGAACAAGGGGCAAAAGCAGCAGACCATGCTTCGTTGTTCCCTTATTACATCACTCGCGTCACAAAAGGACAACCCTCAAACCAAGGATCTAGTTCCCTTTTTCGTGTAGAACGTTGCTTTACTTAAACTGATCAGGCTAACCAAACCAGCAACTGATACAGGACATTTCTACTGATTACATGTAGTTATATTCTAACGGATCACTTTTCATTTCTTTCGTGTGATTGCGAAGTTAAATGCAAGCTACACAGCGCACGGAACCGGCAGGCCTGCTGTACCTTTTCCCGGCTCGTCCGAACCGTGTATAGTGTCGGGTGACGCGCTTGGTAAACCGAGACCGGACATCACAGTTGTAAATTGCCCTTCCGCGCAGTGACGTTCGCGGTGGACGGGAATTGTAGTCGATACGGTCGCAAAGAGCACATGTCGGTTCAATGGGGATGCAATGTGCACAAATCTAATTTATATTGATTGACAAAACCACGTAGACAACTTGATGACCACGTTATACGCCTATAAATGACCGAATAGAAATAGGGTGTACACAGTAAATTATCTTCCAATCATTTTGTTACAAATTACTAGGTTGCCATCTACAGGCTTGGGAACGAAAAGGTCTCCAAATTGTCCCCAAACTTACAGTACTAGGTGAATAAGTTTCTCTGACAAAGCTAATGATTAAGTCTGGTCAATAGCTCAATAATAATGTCAAAATTAGACAGAAGGGGGACTTGTCAAGTTTAATCAACAGGTAATGTTTCACAAATTAGTGGTGCAACCACGCAGCCATTGCAAGGGATAAATTTTGATTCACATTGTCAAAAGCAAAATCCATTCAAAATGTACTTTGATGATAACGAAAACACATTTCAAACCGACTGGAGATAGCTGCCAGCCGCAGTGTGCTTTATTCATGTTGACGGCGCGTGGTTTTGTTTCAAGAGTTTGCAAGGATGATGGGCATGATTTTTTTCAAGACATCAACAGTCATTCCTTGCTGCTCACAACTATGATAGTGACTTGCTCGGCATTCAGCTACTCAGTGTTGTTTGTCTATTTGCTGAGGTGTTCTTGTTTGAATTTTTCTACTTTACTAAATGTTCATAGTTAGTGGATTCTAGGATTCAATTATTTGGTGCATCATCGGCAACTTTTTTGCTTTGATCGTAGCTAGAAAAGAATGTACCAAATTGCAATTAAATGCGACGAAAAAAGGTGAGTACCAACACTGCTTCCATGATTTTCACATTGAGAGATATAAATTTACGAGTAACATGACACTTTGAATACTAAATATCTATCATAAGACTGCATATAAATTGATGTGAGTAGTGCGGACCTCGACAACTTTGATCTTGCACCGCCATAACTATTTTATTTTATTAAGCAAAAGCAACAAAGCGACAAAGGGTATTATTTTTGCATTGACTCCAAAACGTTAGGCCCTAATGCTTGGAAGTAGAAAAACGTAGATATTGTTTTCATATAAATACGATTTTTAGGAATTATCAAAGTTCAATATTGCTACTTTGAAAGGTGGTGTGCATCGACCTTCGATCATAGAAGCAAAGAGATGAAGCTTTTAGGGCAGATCGACATTGCATGTTATGTTGTTACTCTTGCGTGATATGTCTGCATATTGAATAGAAACAGAATACTCACAGGAATAAGGCATTAGGTCCGAGCCTTGAGTCTGCAACCACCGCGTGTAGGGATTGTCGCTGGCGTCATAGAATGAGTTCAAATTGGCCGACTCGTGGGAGCTGATAGTGGTAGTTCCGTCCTGTAGGGCTACCGTCGGAGAACCGCCGTTGCCCACACGGCAGGACCGGGCCTTGGCAGTCTCACCGGCCGCAGCCGCAGCCACTACGGCCGCGGCTTGCGGCATGTCTAATATGTCCTTCACCGAGAAGCTGGTCTTGACATTCATTGCGATTTCTGTCTCATCCATGGGGGCAGGAGATGTCCACATGGGGGCACACTGAGGGGTAGCGATCAAGTCCAATTCACAACAAGGCGAAGAACTTCACTGAGATGCACTGCACAGCGTCTGAGTCGCACACGTGATAATACAAAAGAGAGGAGAAATAAAACATAAACGGCATTAATGTAATTTGACGGTGGCAACAGACTAAGGTCCTCTATAGAGAAAACTTGATGGAGCACTGATCAGCAAGCACGTGGAAGATGAGGACTTGTTCTGGCGCTGAGAGGCACAACACTGACCGGCCGACATGCGAGGAGCGTAGTTTAAAAAGGACACCACCATGTAGTCCCTTTTCCCCCCTTGCGGTCTGCACCGTGTATATACACAACGTGCGCGATAGACGTACGAACGGACGCGACGGGCAGTAGTGGTGATGCAGTAGCCGAAAGCTCCGGCTGTGAGTGTGTGCGTGGACACGGTGTGTGCGCACGACTCGACGACCAGTGGCCACGGGCCCGCAGTGGGCGGCGCTTAGAGTCAATTGCCCAAACAAGGTGTTAGCATAAAATCAATTTGTCACCCAACTCTGTGGATAATTTGATTGGTGCTCAAGTACTGCCGTTGACACGGGTGTCAGGCCGGCTTCATTACACCACCCGAGGGTACTGAGCTGCTCTAAGTCTTTTGTCCCGTGTGGGATGATAGCCGCTCTGTTCTCATCCAGCAAAACACCTGACGAGTTTTTACCCCCCCCCCCTTCTAAAAAAAACCTTTAATGAAAAGTGTGTTAATACCTGCGCTAAGCCTCTCCATCTCAACGCGCTCTCCGTTCGAGTTCAGTGTGGGATTACCTTTGACGAGCATTATACCGGACTGAATTTCCTAGTTCACTTTGACGAGTGCACGAAGAGACCGCTAGCATCCAATTAGAAAACAAACCCGCAGAAATAAGTGCGAGACAAACCGAATTTATTTGTCCAGACTTCTAACATTAAAGCTTGCGTATAGAGCAACGGACATGGGCCCGAATTCTTAGAAAACTAAAGCATAATACACTGCTTAGAAAATGTATTGTCCCAGCAGGAACATTTGGTCGGAAACGTGTTTGTACAATCTGCGCATTTTTACCTGTTCAGCAAATTCGTGTGCTTTATGAAATAGTTAATTCTATTAAACAAGTGGTTTAGAAAGTGATTATTCAGAATGTCTGGGCTGCATATAAAATAAATTGTGGTAGGACGGGGGGGGGGGGGGGTTAGTGTATAACTTGCCGAGATCATGGACAACAATTGACAAATCTGGCTAATGTAATTCAGTCTTTGTCAAAATGATTCTGGAATACAGTGGACCTCAATATACGTCTATTTTCACAATTGTATTGATGACAAAAGTCAGTTCGTTCGCTATTTGTGTTGTAGTTGTAATGTCCAGAAATGAATATTGACAATTCTCGAACTTGCGGACTGCATTGCATGTGCACAAACTAACAGCAAATGCAGTGCATGTTTACACTCAAAACATCTGTTTTTGGGGATACAAACCATTCTATGGCAATTTTGAAAGCACTCTGATGCGACTCATAAAATGGCACTATACACTTAAAAAGGTAAAGTGCCTTCCCTATCTTTGTGCTTCATTGAAGATTGATTACAACACACCGCTTTCAATATGCTTCATTCTAGGACCAATTATAATCAGAAACCTGTAGGTTAAATTTCATAAACGTTTGGCCATAAAAAAATACGGCAAATTGAATATTTGATGAAGACCATGAGGTTACATGAAAGAATATATATGACAAAAATATGTATCGATGACGTTTTCGATAACTATGGATCGTGGATTACTTATAACCGATGAGTTACTTGAACGGCTCTACAACAGTTGTATGCTGAGCAACATTTGTTACTTCTCACCTTAAAAATAACAGGACTTCTAAAGTTTTCGAATGCTGGATACCACCGTGACTTTCATTTCGGTTCCCAGAAATGTAGCTTTAAAAGCACGGAAGATGCATGATTGGGGATTGTTTTCTCTCGCGCGATAACACGTACAGGGCTATACGTATAAAAGGACGACAACAACAACTGAGTTAAACGGAACATCCTCTGTGCCAACATCTCGCTTTTTGAAGCAACATTTAGATTGGATAATTTATAAATGCTTCTGGCTTTTTAATGCAGGTATTTAACGTTGCAGACAGCCTGCCCTTGCCTTATGTTCATGTGGCTTTACAAGAAGTGCGGTCTATCACAATGCTTTTAAGGTTTTGAGTGTATTTTTATGACCCATTACTGGATACAAACCAGCCAGGAAACACTCATAGATGGAGGAGGATTACTAGTAACTGTGAAAGCCAGATGGGTGTACGTGTTGTTGAGCAAGCGATTGAAAATCATTTCTAAAAAAGGTAAATAATTAATACAATTTGTTTTTCTTCAAATGATCAATGAATATTGAACAGTGAAACCATGCAATCATCTTTCAAATGAAATTGCTTCAATGAATCCAAAACTACAGCTGTCAAAGCAAAACTTCTTGGAGTAAAAATCCACTACGAAAGTTGTCAACCTTAACTTCTTAAACAGAAATGTAAAGTGAACGATCCTTTTTGATTTGGTATTGTAGCGAAGTGTTGTTATTGGGTGACAGAACACGACCTGAAAATCACCATATTAAGATCTTTATTTGCTCAAAGTCAGGGCAGTAATATCATCCAGATATGCCGGGAAAACGAACTGATGACCGTTATCGAAAAGTAAATTTGACATGAAAACTTACTCGATGAATAAAGAGGCACTGTAAGGGTGTGAATCTGTCACGAACTTATTAATACACACCTTTAACATGGGTTTAATTTGGTGATGCTCGAATCGTTGGTGTTTTATCCTTCTTAGTATTTGATGTGCTGAGTAGCTTGCAAATAACTAATAAAACATAATTATCTATTGGGTCTGCCATGGGAAGGGGACGGTGCTGGCGCTATTCCTAAGCTGCATTCATGGATTTGATCATTGACATTTCAAGGTTTGTATCACACATGCACAGCTTTTCCTCAAATGAATTAACTTTTCCCTTGGCGTGGTTGAAAATTGCAGTAGACTGGAAGTGGAAGTAAATTAACCCCCAAAAGGTTTATTTACCTCACGGAAAATGTGAAGCTAAACCGCTCCGAACTAGCAAGAGCCTAAATAAAATGTCTCTCGGGAGAGCAGAAGAAATCAAAGCTCTATAAATTTTGAAGAATTCGTATAAGGATTCAGGACCTAAATGTCAAACGCTTATAAGAGAGGAGTTGCCCAGGCTCAGCACGGACGAGTGGCCGACCTGGCCTGGCCCGGTTGGTTCCGGACTTAGATCTCGGGCTTGACTGTATTATGTACTACTAACCTCACCCTATATACGGTCCAGGGTGATGGTGTATGGGCCTGAACGATATCTAAACAGGGATGAAGTGGACGGGACTCTTCAGTCTGAGTCCCGACAAGTTGTCACACTTCAGGGGACTACACGCTGCACCTGACTACTGTGCAAAATCATGCATGAAATGAGAGTAATGGTAATCCACTGCGCTTTTCTTTTAGTATTCGTGCTTTATGGGGACTTTTAAAATTGACTTTGTAATTTGAATCATCCAATCACAAAGTCTCTAAAAGCAGGAGTTGTGTGTGAATGGCAAAAGCCAAACATGGAATTCAGAGGAAACTAGTTTGCGTCAACACTAACTTTGCATCGGGTATTATGCATGGACGCGTTAACCCCCACATATATCACACTCAGTTTCAAGGTTTTTCTTTCAAACTTGGGGTAATTACTTCCACCACAATTTTCCACCCAGGTTGTCACTCCAAAACTCAAGTATTCTTTAGTATCAATGAGCGGTTTAATTTGTTACGAACTTGACACAGACAAAAAGCGGGCACTGTCAGTCAAACCCATGATAAATCGCTAAACGGTGATTATTTTTTGCGATAAGATCGGGTGGGCCGAGTCGAAGGGCTTTTATGTTCTTGTCGCCAGACCTAGTCTCGGGGCAATGTGCCACTGCCACAAAACAAACTCCTCTGCACTATCATTTGGGTTATCCGCTAGAGTATATTGCCCCGAAGCTAAGGCCAGCCTGGCAACTTGGACTTTTTCCCGCTTTGAAGTCAAAATCAACAGAAAAAAACTCAACAAACTCACACCATCGAAACCACGGATCAAATAACAAAGTTGAATCTAAGTACAATGCCGATAACAGAAAATTATGGCCAAACAGTTGCAATAGCGTATTTATCTCAACTCAAGAGCGGTGTGTAGTTTTGTTTTCATTCAAGGGATGTGACTATGTTTTTTGATTGTCGGAGAAATAAAAGACCCATGCGCAGACTTTCAATTACATTAACCGACAGAACGAACCCCTTTTCACTCTGCTGAATTACACAGTGTTTGAGTTATGCCTTGTTGGACATGGGAGTACAGACAGACAAATACCACGCACAAACGTTGAAACTCAGATATCCATCTTGCTGAGTACACATCTCGCCGGCGTCACTCAACGAAACAAATAGCGCGGGAGTTTGCTTAGAGGCCGGGCACCTGTCGAAGGAGGGTCGCTGCTAGCTTGCTGAGGCCGAGGCCTTGTAGAGCGACAGAGCCGTCATGCGCAGACTACGACCCCACATTGCAGGGAGTATATAGCAGTCCGGAACTGAACAAAGTAAACCCGCGACTGTAAGGGCGCGGGCGCGAAGTCGACTCGCTCTTTTATTCACCTGTCAAAAGCTGCAATTTATTAACTTCTTTACAAAACTTTTTGTGTACGTGTGTGTCTTTTTTGCCTCTTTCTCTCTTTCCTTTTTAGCCCTGGGTGCAGGGTTTTTAGGGGAAAGATAACAGAAAATCCCGATACCAAGGGGTGGAAGTACTTTGGCAATTTAGGGCACCATTATTATCAGACACAGATGAATTAATTTGGAATTTGAGAGCAGAGACTAAAGTTTTAGTGAAAGATTAGGGCTGGTATAAACCCAACACTTGTGATAGGCCCGATAAAGTTCTCAAATAATGACAAAGGCAGATGCATTTTATCACATAGATTGCACCTTATATAGATAAATAGTATTCCAAAAGCGCTCTGCACTGAAGTAGTGAAGTAGGCCATGGAATTAATAGTGCTAACTGCCATTCGCTATTATCAACAGCGTCGTGTTTCGACACATTTTAAGAAATATCTTTTTGTCTAGTATTTTATGACTGTTCACACTGGCGTATATATTGTGAAAATTCAAAATCGTGTTCACAATCCAATGTGAGGATTCAACTTTATAAATATTTTCTATGATATGCCGGTTTTCTAAGGCAGTAACTTAGAGCTATACAAAAGGTCATGGATTGAACCCTTTCTGACGATTCCTTTGACATTAATAGACTCAAAAGAATACTGGTATATTGAGCACATTTGTGTTCAATCCTCTCTGCCTCATGTGTTCTTCAAGAGTTTAATGTTGACAGAATCAAAGCAGCGAAAACCAAGACACATCTGGACCCGGGAACGCCCCAGCACACAACGGTCCACAGCCCGTACAGATTCCTTTATCGATACACAGACTTTGGGTGTTTCTTTTTTCAGAACACATAACCACCACATTGTAACACGGTTTTTATTGAGTCCTGACACATATCTCAAGAGTCTTTTCTGTAACCCCGAAGAGCTTTGGGGTTAAATCTCGCTGGAGACCTAGTTCGGTAGACAGATTCACAATACAATGTAAAAACTGTGTTTTGAGTTTAAACAGTGTACCAACTTGTTTTTACATGTTTGAATCTATGAAATGTTTAAGTTTATGGGTGTCTGTGACATGTTTAGGTACACAACGAAAGCCTGTTAGTACCATCAAGTATCAATTGTAAAAGTAAATACAATCGACTTATCGGGTTTTAGTCGAATGACATTCTAACTACACATTTTTATCAATATTCTTTTATCACCTGTCAAAAAAAAAAAAACGAATTTGAAAATATAAAATTGACTTTTTTTCATAAATTATTTAGGATAGTATGAACAGGCTTTCATATACTGTGCAAAATCTAAACATGTTTTAGACTAAACATAGAGAAGTCCTTTCTCTATGGACTAAACGTGTTAGAAAGTGGGTACAAAAAGTGTTTAAACTCTATGCACCATTTTTACAGCGTATTTACGTACCAAAGGTTTTGATGTATATTGGCCTAAATCTGGAAAAAGAATCCAGTCTGTATGGCCTGATTCGACATAAAGATTGTACAGGAGGATGGTCTGGTTCCCACTGCATTAGTTCGCAAAGCACGGGCTTTTTTTTTTACAGAGCCTCCGTCCATTTTGTGCAGGCTAACCTCGTCCTCACGGCGTACGGCTACGAGACGTGCGCTACCACTAGCTGCAACCGCACTATTGTTCTGAATCATTCGAATATCCCCCAAACGTTGGTTTTAACTTAAAGATACAAAACAATATGTGCCGCATGGTGTTATTAATGCTCGTACATGCCAGGGAGACCTTTACAGTCATAAACACTGCCTGAGGTGTTTCTAGCAATGGTCTCGCCATTACATGCATGCTTTTCCTATGATCATAATAAGGCCAGCACACTAACGGTGTCCTTGAAAGGGAACATCTATCTGTCTGGTTATGAGTGTAATGATGATTATTTTTGTCATCTACAAACAAAGGATTATAAATAGGCACTCATCAGATATCACCTATGCATATAGATACTCGGCATTACAGCCATGGCCCAACCACAATCGCGACGAAAAGCCAGACGAAATTTAAAACGCGGGATTGTTGAAGATGTTGGTAGCCTATTTATGACATATGACTCGTGTACTGGTCTAAAGCTCTTTCATAGACTACAAAATTATTGATCACAATGGTGCTTTTAATGCATTCTGCATCTAGAGGCCACGGTAGTGTTGATTCCGACTAAATGCTGTTATTATAATTAAATTATCAACATTCTCGTTAATTCTCGTTTAAGTCTTGTTCATCAAACATGTCTTCTCCGTTAATTCGATGTATTTCAATGTATTCTCGCTCGAATCTCCAAAGATGCCAGCTTAATCGAAATTCGAGTGTCTAGAATGAGAATGATGCTTAGTTATAGAAAGATGTTTGAAAATATTTTGGTCCGTTTTTGTTGCGTGTAACAAAAACTATATAATACAATTAAATTAGGTTTTGCCCTTCATATAATAAAATTGCTTGGAAAAAAACCCAACAAATCCATTTCAGCAGTTAATCCTCAAAATGCCTGGTAAACCACAAAGGGTCCTAGTTCTAAAGCGACAACTTTCGTACTGTTAGATGCAAGCAATTTCCCCCTGTCAACCAAATACAGCCACATTACGGGGTTCAAAAATCAAGAGAGCATACAACTCACTCAACGGAGGCCGTGGATTAAGCACTCCTTCGAGTACCGTCAACGGTCCTCGCCACACACTGCACGACTCTACGGGCTTTGTTTGTCAAGTTTGTCTAAGGGTTTTTACAGCAACTTAAACCTATTCAGCAAACCAAACAAATCCTTCTTGTTCCTTTTTCCCCGTGGTTAGAGAGCAACCCTTTCTTTTTTGTCCTTGCTATTATAGTAAGTTGTAATCTTGGGGAATTTCTATAATGGTTATGTACATGTTTGTAGATGTAGAGCAAATTCTTTGTTTGCGTGTAAAACGACAAAGTTTTTCTACCCGATGTTTTCATGCACTGCGAAATTTCTACCGATGATGCTGAGACAACACAAACATTATGATAATCCGGGGGGCGTGCTTTACCTTACGTTCGATGCTGCATTAACTGATACTTTTTACAGTTCATTCATTCATTCATTCATTCATACAAAACATTTATTTGAATATTGCTGACACAAAATGCACAATGAGTCTATTTAAAAATAACATTAATGAGAAACTGAGTAAGGAACAAAAAAAATTATATAACCAACAAATAATGTAAATAATCCACAAAAACTACGACTCATTAACAAATAAAACAGCAATAGGGTGGCATGCGCAGGAGCCAAAGGCTTATATTGCCATGCCAGTACAAACAAACACAAAAAATTACAAACATGAGTGGACAAACAAGAAACAAAGACAAGAACAATTATCTGACATCTGACAATTATCATATAAATAAAATAAATTAACATGAACTAAAATATGAATTTTCTGAAATTTGTTCAATGAAGTTATAGAGTCAAACGTCAGGAGCCTCTCTTACGGGATATGGTATGTTTCACTCGTTTTAAAAACAATTAAGGTTCACATTCGATAACTTATCGGGACTCTTTTTTTTCGTATGAAAGAGGCCCTCAATCGTCATGACTTTACGAATTATTAGATAAGACTCTGAACAAGTCTGCAGTGTCCACATGCACGTTGTGAATTTAATTCAATTCACGTCTGTGTTCCTCTCAAAGAAATAGGCCTACGCCTTTTAAAACCGGCGCAACACAAGTCAGTGTGTGTGTACGACATGGCGCAAATTGACGGATTGACCAGCCTCTAAAGTTTGTCACTGATAACACTGTACTGAGTACACTTGCAGGGCACTCGTTGAACCGGTCTTTTCTCTGAGCAAGTCGCGGTATTGTCACAGTTTGAGATTAATGACAAGAGTTCACGTGCGCATTGTGCAGGTATAAAGCCGAGAGGCATTGACTCCGTGCACTCACATTCCACGATGAAACGAGGACAATACAGCAGCAGCAGCAAAACAACAAAAACGAAGCATACAAAAAAAGAATAAGCAAACACTCACTGCAATACATGTAATAGCACAACCGAATGACGCTTCAAATGATCTATTTGTTTCAGCAGTTGCAGCTGGTTTTGGAACACTCAACACTAGGACATGCACAGCAGCGACACCACACTATAAAATCCACAAGATTCTCCGTCAGAAATGAAAAGGGGCTCCAACAAAATCCAACATCAGTCAGAGCTTAGTATTTCAGCGAGAATCAACTGGTCCAATTTCACAACCGATATGGTAATTCTTAATCAAGGCGTGACAATGCCAGGACACGCTTCATATATAACTTTGGATGACGAGATATTTTGCATACATTATGTTTTTCACATCATTCTGATCGTATCATCATTTGCATAGAAGCACCATGCACAATCGTTTCATGAAGTTAATGACACGATTTGAATGACAAAACAACTTGTGACACCACTCAGAGATGGCATCAGCATTGCCTACGAAAGTGACAACTCGGCCTAATTAATGCAATTTCAATTGGGAAACACACCTTTGACAAACGACAGTCACCACACGGTCACCGTGCGGACAGCGACCACGACGCAGATACAGACAGACGAATATGACAAAATAATCACCTCATTGCTCGGTGCACTTCTGCAACACCTACAGCATCTAAATTATCCCTCGTCACCCCTCGAATACTCTTCCGAATAGCGATATGTGATGCAGGATACATGATACGTCATAATGATATTACAAAATAGCAAAAATGAAACCGGTAATGCGTACTTTTTTGCCTTTTCCTTTGATCAGGAAAGATAAAAGTAGCTCATATGACTCTTTAGGATTCACATGGCTCATAAAATACATGACCAGCACATTGTAAAGATAGGATGATCTAGCTTATCGAATAACTGATAGGACCATTGATATACCCATGCATCATCACATACAAAAAGCCTTCACAAGCATTCCCATTGCGGATTGGAAACCTATCTGGAAAAAAAGCTGTCGTATAAATTCGGAGTTTGACAGCCATCATCGACAAATTGTTGGTTCAGTAAGTACACTATATTGGTGCAGAAGATATTGAATCTCCGAAAATGCATTGTTCAAAAGGATGTCTGTAGTCAGAAGCTCACGTTATTACGCAAAGTGATTGACTTACTTGGGCTATTTTCCCGTATACAGAGCAATAAGTTGATCATCAAACTCGGCAGCTTCTTTACCGGCTTTGGATTGGACTTCTAGAGAATATCCACATGCTTGTCATCTACATAAATGCCGATGTGGTCTGTCATTTTTGACAGAGATATAGGTCTTCTGCTGTAGCTTTAACGATGCCGGATCCCAATCTGTAGCCGATCAGTGCAAGGGACCAAACCACCGAGTTCATATCACACTCTTCCCTCCTGTACTAGCAGGAACAGGTACAGGAGCCTTCCCAGCGACTGGGCTCAAGTTCGTTGACAGGGACATCGCGTCTGGGCAAATCACCGGCCATAAAGGCTGATGCCGGCCCATTCCTGGGCGTAAATCACTCGCCGTAGCTGACACAAATTGCTCGTTGGTAAACTGATTTTATGAGAGCGCGTGGACATGAGAGGGGCCTCCCTGGCCCTTCACCCCTAATGAGGGTAATTGGGGTGTCATTCGGTTTCTTTTCTTCTAGAGCTATAGGACTATATTGGGCAGAGTAAAAACACATTATAGACACAATGCTCACTCTTGCTTAATGACGATCATCAATAAAGGTAAGGATGTTCTTTTCAGCTTGACTACGAGCGCAAACTCATTTATTCAGCAGATCAGTTTCCGATTATACAAACAAATCAAATAATTAATATTAGAAATGAAGGGAGCCGAGAGGTCGTGTAACTGTTTGTTTCAACTGAAGCCGGGAATCTACTAGACAAGATGACATTGATTCAATTGGCTGACGACTTTATCTGCTTTGAGATAGATTTGACTCTTTCAAAAGGGAAAATGGAACAGGACGTGACGGGAAAAGAGTCCAAACATTATTTGTTCAATTTGAAGCATGTTGATATTAAAACACACAATCCAGTTGACCCCAGCTCGCAAAGCAAATTGAGCTGCTATGGCAGGCCACATATAATGGGCACGCCGCTCGGTAATAAGTCCAATCATAAGTCCAGGGCCATTTGTGTCTTAACACGAAGATATCAAACCAACAAAGAAACCCCATATTGTCGGGGAAGATCAACAATGAAGCAGGGACATTAGCCTGAATACGCGGCGATTATACGGTAATAAAACGAACCGCCAAGAGTTGATATAAATGTTGTCCGTACAATAAAGCTGCAATTCCGACTGAAGTGGGTCTAATGGTGAATTGCGCGGGTCCGTGCCATAATGTCACAAAGCCATAACAGCAAAGCAAATAGGACTTTTGTCGTTGTTCTTTGTCAGCGAATGGTACTGAATGAATGAAGACCAACACTTGGCGTGGCAAACGACCGGTCAAAGTCGGCAAGGAATTATCACAATTTTTTTTTCTTCTAACCGGACAAAATAAATTTATGCCTATACGACTCAGGCGCACCTGTGAGAAAATTAATTTTGTGAACGTATTTTGAGATGAATTGAGAACATATTTAAGTTTCTTAGCTCCTCTCAAATAATGCGGTTAGTTACTTTTGTCTACTATGAACACACTACCACAACATTGAAAAGCTTGTCTCTTTATACATATCGGCAGAAAAATTGGCGGGAGAAGCAGAAGACAGACGAATTCCTTCATGCGTCGTTAAAGCCACTTGTTGAAACACTGAACATCAATTTCTTTTTGAAGAGGTCGAAACAAACGCATGATACAGAACCGAAACTCGCAAAAATGGACCATTGACGCGCCAAGTATACAAGATGACAAGACAGTATGGCTACTCATGTCACGCAGCCGCCATTTTGTCAAAGGTTTCAGGCGAAATCGCATCGCCATTAAAAAGCCATCAAAAGGCCACACTTTTGTGAATTACGGTATGGTGGAGTTTTATAGGGGCTGCTAAGCCGAAATCAATTAAGAACTAGTCTTTGGTGTACACTGCATGACAAATTGGCTGGTGGCCTAGTTTTGTTTAGCATTTTTTTGTGCTCAGCAATTTACTTTGTTTAACAATTCCATGAAAGTGGCCCTTGGTAAGGATGAAAATTTCAGCAAAGTCGAGATGTTTTTTTTAATACAAATGTCATACTTCGCACATCCCCCCTCTAAAAACAAACACATAGGCCTAATGCCAACAAAATAATTGCTATCACTGAGTGATCAATTTATAAGAACTCTTAGAAGCGATTAACTTTACAATTAATTCTACTAATGACGGGGAAGTGACGTAGAACATACAGGAAAAGTGCAAACTTGGTTCGAATGCAATTGTTGGAAAGATTAAGGCGATGCATTAATAACACTTTAGACGTGGTTATTCGGCTGAGCTTTGAACTTGCAGCGATTATAGTGGGAAGAAACAGACCAAGATAAACATGCGGAAATAACAGACAGAAGTCATTCTTCAGGGAACATGATGAAATGTTTTACAGAGGCCTGTCACAGGAAAAGAATACTGTTTGTATAGTTTTGTTCAAAACAACAGTGGCCATGGACTAAAAAGACAATTCAACATTGTCTTGTTTGATTCTACTTAAAATATCTGCACGTGAAGAACAAAAGCTATATAGATTAGAATGTCAGAATGCCCGATGACATTAAATTGTCTCCTTTTCACCTGGAATGATCAGTTAATATTTTACACATACCATAAACCCCTATAAAATATGAGTCGGTGGATTTGCTTTATTTGCCTTCCTTGAGACATTTACTCCGTCACACCATTATAATGACCGCAGACCATTCAAGAACGTGCCTAGATCTAAGCGGAGATTCGCAAGCCAACCATTGACTCACTACGTGACTCGTATACGGTAATACATCCCCCACCGCAATGTCCCCTCCCCGTGCTAAACTGCTTGAATCCTCTGCTGTCGAGCCATATGATGTATGCTTCGTTATACTGTCGAGGAATGGAGCTGACGGGGAAGTATTGTTTAACCATTGCCACTTCATTTTAGTTCATTACGTCGGGTTTGGGTGATGACTAACGCGGGTAAATTCTGCGGCGGTTGAGGGCGCCATGCAGACCCATCACCAATGTGGCAAGTCACTTTTCATCAAGTGCTATTTACCGCCGACGGCATTTCTCATTATGTTTGGGGCTTTAAAACGACTCTCAAGCTCGGCTGAATTTTCAGAGTAACTCGTTGCTAAATGTATGCTTACAGACTTGAAACCTTCACTTATCATCCACCACTTCTAAAATTAAAAATATGCACCAATACTCACTCTGAATGCAAACCAAATTCCATGGTTTGTATCACTCAAAGTCCTTTTAATAGATGACACAAGAAAAACCACTGTCAGCTATACTTGTTGATACAACAATATAATTACAAGTTACTGAGGAAACTTTTGGAATGAACACGATATAATCTCAAAAACTAAAACAAATTAAAGCAATTAGTGTACAATGCACAATTCATAATACCCTACGAATCAACACTATATTAAAAAGATTGAAAACAAGATCTGTCTAATGCAGGCTACGATTTTTTCACCTTTATGAAAGGAATGTATAACTTATATAGAATTCAAGAAAACATTTATTTCCACACCATTACTATTAGTCACATTGAATACTACATTAAAGGGAATGTACATCATTGGCTTTTGCTGTAATTTTCAGAAATGAACTATTTGAAGGGTTAGTATAATAGATCAAATATTGTTACACTGACATGTTTGAAGTTTTGTGTTCGAAAGTGCTGGAAAAACTAAGAAAAACAAAAATGTTCAAGTAGTCTGGTTCCTTGACTCCACTAAAGATAAAATGGATCAATTTATAAATGCCGGAAAATTGTAAGGTAGGGAAACCAGTCTAGCTGGCCTGCAACCGTTCACGAACATGTAACCAATAGCAAACAAAATTTGGATTGAAAAAATGATAAATTTGGAGCAGAAGTTGAAAAATAATTAGGTTTTTCCAACGGTGGTCGGCCGACCACCGATGGAAATTTATACAAAATACCACTTTTCTTGAAAATGACTTCACACCAGGTGCCATAATTTTACAAGATGCTTTAGACTGTTATTAACCAACATCCTAGAAAGGTATTTCGTAAAAATGCGGTAGTTTTGTTTTTCAATGTCTGCAAATGCTGAACCAACCCAACAAACCAATGGTACCCTTTGTTTGAATGAGACTCAAATCAAACTATGACATTTCCTTGTTTGTCAAGTGAACTTCAGGCAAGTCGTCGAAGAAACTTCATTGAATTTGACTTAATATCTTAATTTTTCGTTGCTGCAAATTTTACAGAAATTATCCTATTCATAGAGCCTATAATTTTACTGGGATTCTCAGTGCTAAATCAATAATTATGGAACATTTGGCTGAAATGTCTCTTGTATTCCTGTAAGATGTTTTTTAATTTATTAGTTATAATTGTTAAACATTCGTATTACAAAGGTGCATTTACCCTCATTTTGAATATAATTTTTAATTTGGTCAATTCTTTTTCCCATTGAGGTTTTGTTTAATGCCATGGATCTCTTGGAACTCAAAACAGAAAATGTAAACAAGATAGCATTTTTTTCTCTAGAAAGGTAAAGAAGTGAAAATGTATGGGTCAAAGACGA